ACGCACGCACGCACACGCACACACTCACACACACACACACACACACACACACACTCACTCACGCACACACACACACAATTTAACAACACTGACTTCAGTTAAGTTGAAGCACTAAAATTACTAACTGGAAATAATAGAAATAAAACCTAACAGAAATAAAAAATAAATTAAACCTAAATAGTAATATTTAAAATAAATAAAAACTACCACAAATGACAAAAGCACATTACAAAATACTACAAATGTAACTAAAATTAAAATGAAAACTAATAAAATAAAATTATTTTTCAAATTCAAAATATTCATAAAACTGTAATATTACATAAATAATACTAAAATAACACTGGTTCAGAAAGATGTCACATTACAGAAGTTAAATGCGTTAAATTGTCAAATGTCGTCATTAAACATTTATTCCAGATTAGATATGCTTAATTTATGTGTTAACATGTAACGTCTATTTCTAATTGCAGAATTAGCTCTAGACCTGCAAAGAGGCCGTATGGCTCTACAGACCCCAGACTCTGAGCGCTGCAGCTCTTTGGAAAGGTTCCCGCTGCCTAAATACAGTAAGGTAAGTCAGTTCAGTCTATTTGTGGCCCTGCAGCACAAAAGCAGTCTTAAGTCGCTGGGGTATATTTGTAGCAATAGCCAACAATACATTGTATGGGTCAAAATTATCGATTTTTCTTTTATGCCAAAAATTATTAGGATATTAAGTAAAGATTGTGTTCCATGAAGAAATTTTGTAAATTTCCTACCGTAAATATATCAAAACTTAATTTTTGATTAGTAATATGCATTGCTAAGAACTTCATTTGGACAACTTTAAAGGCGATTTTCTCAATATTTAGATCTTTTTGCACCCTCAGATTCCAGATTTTCAAATATTTGTATCTCGGTCAAATATTGTCCTGCATGCATGATGTCAAGCACACAAATACAAACACCATCATGCTAACACATGGTGCAAAAATAAACATGAATTTAACAGTAACACTTTACAATAAGGTTCCATTTGTTAACACTAGTTAGCTGCATTAATTAGCATGAACTAACAATGAAAAATACTTCTAAACCATTTATTAATTTTAGTTAATGTTATTTCCAAAATTTCCTAATGTATTACTAAAATGTAAAGTTGTGTCTGTTAATATTAATGGACCTGAGCCGAACTAACAGTGAATATTTGTATATTTTTTATTAACTAACGTTAACAAATAATAAAAAATACTGTAACAAATATATTGCTTGTTGTTAGGTTAATATTAGTTATTGCATTAACTAGCGTTAACCAGTGGCACTTAACTAGCATTAACCATTAGCACTTGGCACTATTGTAAAGTGTTACAATTTAACAAGATAAGATGTAACATAAAACATAAAATGTATATATCTGATAACAAAAGCTTACGAAGAAACAAAGTTACTTCAATGAAAACCCATCAAATGTGAAATGTCACGAGGAATTCTGGAATTTTCATTTATGTTTTTTTTTACACTGTACATTTTTTGTTCTTTTTCAGTTCCAAAAACTGTACAGTATTTTATTTATTGTTAACCAATTAATGGATTTTCACTGTAGCATTTTACGCTGTAGTCTTTTACAGTTAAAATTGTAGAGACCTTCTTAAGTGGCATATAATGGAAATAATCAAAAAAGAGAATAAGTCAAAAAAGAGAATGTTATTAATGTTGAGATCATCTGTGCATATTCTTAGAGTGATGTTAGGTATAATGGGCCACTAGCAATGCCAATGTCATTAGTTCTATTCCCGGGAATTCATGAACTGATACAATGTAGAATACCCTGAATTCAGTGAGATTTGTAAAATGTCCTTCTTATTTTATCTATGGAAATTAATTTTGTTAGATTTAGACAACAAGATTTTGATTTTGTCAGATTTGGATTTTGTTAATAGTAAAACAGTCCTGATCCTGGATGTCCTACAATACTGCAGAAAAATGCTGATGACGAAATTTATGTCAAACATACTGTGCACATACCCTAATGCATAGAAAATAAACTGTAGCCTACTTTGGGCTTTAGTGCAACTGATTTCTAATTGGAAATAGGTGGATTACAGGTTCATAGGAATGACTTTTCTGTCATGATGCACTAGAAGTGTGGCATGGATTACAGCATGTGTTTACTGCAGCGCTTTGCCCGTAAACTGCAAGAAATACAGCACACCCAGTCCAGTACCAGAATCTGTTTCTCAGATTATTCACTGAATAAACTCACAGAATGCATCAGAGCGGATACTAAATCAATCAGTGACTCACTTACTGCAAGTTACATTGTCATAATTTCTTTAATATATCCATGCTCTAACTTGCAGTGCCACCAAGAATACAATAATATATTTTGTCTTTATTTGTATATAACAACTGGCTTATGAGGCCTGTTTGCTCTAAAAAAATAATATATTATCTTTTTACCTATACCTCGCACTCGCAGTCATGCTTTGTTTAAGGTTATATCATAACTGAAAGCGAACAAATGTATTTTCTTTTCTTTTCTTTCTTTTTTCATATTTCGCTCAGAAAAGTTTTTGGTGTGTCTCAAGATTGATTCTGGGTGATCCCACAATGAAAAGGTTTGGGAACCTTTGGGAACTCTTCTAGTGGACAAGTTTCAACTCAGCAGAGTGCACATGAACTAAACTGGGTTTATCAAGTAGGGACACATTCAAAAAGTGCAGTGCTGAGGGCTCTCCATAGGACCACTGCTCTAGATGATTTACTCAGAAGTAGTCTGATATCACACGAATACACTGTACAAAAATACAACTGATGAAGTATAATCAATAAAAACATTAGTCATTGCCCATGAATAGAGCACTTATGACTAATAACATCTCATACAAGTGTGTTTATGAGAGATGTAAAAGCCAGTGAATAAACAAGGCCTTTCACAAAACATATCGAAATGAGTTGATGCACTCTGCAGAGAAAATGTTGTCCAGATATTATACTATGGGCCTGATACCCTACACTCATTAAACTGAAAAGATGAGCGCTCTGTTTACAGCAGAAACACATTTGTGCTGTGAACCTGTGACCCTTTTTTATAAAAGAATGTGAGTCATCAGGTGTTCAGTGAACATCTCTGTGCTCTCACAGCCTCACCCTGAGAATATTCTTTAAATTTCCATTTTTTTTTCTAATCTCTTTCTTTACATCAGAAACTTACAATAAGGATGCATTGTCATTTTTAAAATGAAATAAAAATCTGTTTTCTAAATGCAAGATATATATGTGAGTGAGTGATTAATCAATGCAAGTTTCATTTTTAAAATATTTGTTTGGACCTCATCATTTTTAATCAAAATGTCTCGATTTTTTTTATCAAAAAGCTGTTTCACTCAGATGTATGTCAAAAAAGATCCATCACTACTTCTGTTTTATCACTTATGACTTTAATATTTAGACTGGTGTACAAAACAATCAGTCCTAGGTTCCCTTTTTTCTAAACAGTGTGTAAGAACGGAAATGGACTCTATTCACAAACTATGATCACACGTTTACACAGTTTTTTATATTTTGATTTTTAAAAATTAAATGTCACTTTATAATACCTTGTGTTTTATTACCTTGGCATTAAATTACAGAAAACTGGTTAACGCTGGTGTGTGAGTGTTTCTTATACAACGGCTGAGGGAGTGACAACAAATTTGAAATATTTATTTTTTCTGACCAACCCTGAGAACCTCGGAAATGTAAAAAGGGTTCATTTTCATTACTTTATTGCATTACATTGCAACTTTTTTTTTTCAGTTCATGTAAAACTATCACATTAATCAGTTCACATGTTCAGTGGGAGACAGGAATCTGTTCCTCCTTTTATGCTCCCAGCCCAGCAGAGGGCCTATTGAAATGATAATGTAACCTTTCACCATCTGGGCTGTTGAAGTTCTACCAGGATTACATCTGATACCACTGCTGGGATTGTACTTAATTAGTATAAACGGAAATAGACAGATATTTCAAAATGACACAAAACTTAAAAAAACAATAATACAAAAGTTGACATTCATTATATCAAATAATTAGTCTCAACATGCTGTATACCGCTTTCATTGTCATGTAATTTATAGATAGGCTAGTAACATATCTGACTGTCATCATTAGCCTACATTACATGAGAAAATATTAAACCAAGTGGCATTTATCAAAATGAAAGTATGATAGTACACTTTTCATGGAAAATTTGTTTGATATTTCGTTGTCTCTTCCACGAAATTCGTATGTTTTATATGTTGTCCTTTTGTGATTAATAGGCCTAAATTACCATAAATTTCGATGAGAATCCAGCTTTTCTGTCACCTACTTCTAATAAAACTCCCCCAAGTGGTCACATATGTACTTGCACGTTATTTGTCATTTGATATAGGCTATTTACTCAGCATCCTTATTATTATCACAATCATTATGGATCCAGTAAAAAGCGCACATCAATGCAGCTGATCTATGAAGCATATTTGTGTCGTTTATATATTAGTGTTATTTATAAACCTGATTCAACACAAACGTTGGGAAAAAAATATAAACAAATGTAGTATTTATAAATCGCGCTAAATCGATTATTAAAATACTATGTTGTATACTGGGGTGCAATAAAGTTACATTAAACGCTTTATATACCAGCTTAAATGAAAACCGTAAAGACCATCGTTTTCGATGGTCTTCGCACGCCTGCGCTCTCTTGGTATCCGTCCGCGTGGAACTATATTGCTGTCTAAATGTGAAAATCACTGCTTAGGACACAGCACGGGCACCCAATTTCACTGGAGGAAGACTAGTATAAAAGCATAAAATCAGCAGGTTACGGTTTACAAGGTATAACTATTTATACAATTAGCAAACAACACAACGGCGGACTGATTTCAGCCCTTTCCACTAAATTTCATTCGGTGTAGCGGAAGTTCATTTACAAGTCCTTCCGGTCCCCTTACTGGTAAGTTGGTGCTGTATTTTTGCGAGTGATTTTGTAATTTATATGCATAATGAGTGCAGAAGTTCCTTATTAGCTTTTGTGTGAAAGACAACAGCCTTGGATATTTGCACTAATTGAGGTAAAAAGTGCAACTCCTGAGTTCTGCATGTGAATAATGACATGGTGTGGGTTAGTAGCCGGTTAGTCAGTTAGCGACAGTAGGCTCTTCTGTGAATGGCCTGGTCTGCTGCCAGCTTACGCGATACTGTTATAAACACATGTAAATCCTTTTCGTGAAACGCAAAGTCTCTGTGTTAAAGGCAGCTTTGTGATAGAGGGGTTGATTTAGGTTTTAATATTAGCACTTTGGTTTGAGCGCATCATATCATGTCAGTGAGCGTGACTGCAGTAGGCGTGCGTGTTGTTGCAGTTTGGCGCGCCCACCGCTTCCCTAAACTAGACGTGAACTTATAAAACTGTCTGCATAAAACACTTTGTAAGTAATTGTGCCGGATGCGATTTTGATTTATTTGTGATTATTCTTGTTGTGTGCAATTGATATTTGGTGTAAATGCAATGGCAAGTCACGTTTATATGTATAGCGCTTTATGCAAAACAGATTTGACATGTAACGTAAATGCCATGTTACGTGAATATGGTTATAAATCAGTACCACTGCATCTGTCAAAATACCATGGTAGTACCATCTGATACGATACTGTACATGTTTGTGAAAGGCTGAACACTAATATTGACGTTTCCCCTTTGTGGTTACTCTCCTTCAGATGACATGAACTTCTATTGAGACGAGCGCAGACACTAGTCTGCCCTTATTCAGTGCAATCCTGTCTGTCCCGGCCACCACCATGTCTTTCGTGCCCACCCCAAGCCCCACTGTGGTGGATCAGACCACGCTTATGAAGAAATACCTGCAGTTTGTGGCGGCGCTCACTGACAACAACACACGTGAGTGTATTCCATTCAACTAAAAAGTTGCACTGTTAGTTGAAAGCGTTGTCTCTGCTTACTGGTGTGTTTCTCTTTCGTTTAAACATCAGCGGATGAGACCAAACTGAAAATGATGCAGGAAGTCAGTGAGAATTTTGAGGTGAGCCGTTATATTTTGCTTATAAAAAACTTGAAATGAAAGATGCTTCCTCATTAATTCATGTTAATCCTATTCCACAGAATGTCACATCCTCGCCACAGTATTCTACTTTCTTGGAGCACATCATCCCTCGTTTCCTAACGTTTCTGCAGGATGGAGAAGTGCAGTTCCTTCAAGAGAAACCAACACAGGTGTGCTTTAGTAAAAATCATATTGCATATTGTCTTTATTAAGGCCTCATTCCTGACATTTAAATAAACATGAGGTGTCTTTAACTCTTTTTATAGCAATTAAGAAAACTTGTCCTGGAGATCATCCACCGAATCCCAACTAATGAACATCTCCGGTCTCATGCCAAGAACATCCTTTCTGTCATGTTCCGCTTCCTTGAGGTCAACTTTCTTTACCTGAATGCCAAGCTTATTCTAATGTAAAGAGCCAATAAAATAGCTGTAGAATTCTCATTTTATAGAGCATTTTTGGACAAATATTTGTATATGTAACTACATGCAAGAGGGACAGCAGAGACACAATGATGAGAGCGATGTACTTTAGTCCAGAGAATGGTACTGTGTGTAAGATTTTGTGTGTGTGTGTGAGAACTGTAAAGTACTAATGAGCTTGGGCGCTGAAAGTAACACTGATAAGATCTAAGTGTCCAAATGCTGATCTGTGTGAATTCTTACTTGATCGTTTTGTCTTAACAACAAACAAACAAATAGTGGTAATATAAGGGGAATAAATTACATGAAAATAGAAAAGTTATTTTAAGTCTCTTACAAAGGAATCAGCAGGTATATTAAATAATTTATTTTACAAATGTAATGCATCATCTTGTGTGTGTGCGTGCGTGAGTGTGTGTATATTTTATATTTAAATAATAGCTCTTTGCCTCTGTGCTTCATCATTTAGATTGAAAGTGAGGAGAATGTGCTAATTTGTTTACGGATCATCATTGAACTGCATAAACAGTTTCGCCCGCTGATCTCTCAAGAGGTGAGATGCAGCCTTCTGGCACCCTGTGATGTTGACTAGCATTTGCGTTTCCTATGTTTCAAAAAATGTTATTAACTAACATCTTCCTTCCAACTCTTACAGATTCATCATTTTTTGGACTTTGTGAAGCAAATTTACAAAGAACTGCCTAAAGTAGTGGTAAGGTGTTTTCACAAAAAATGGGTTTAAAGTATACATTTGTGTTAAAGTATGTGTTTTCTGAACCTATGTCTCTGTCTGTCAGACGAGGTACTTTGAGAATCCTCAGGTTATAGCAGAAAACACAGTGCCTTCTCCAGAAATGGTGGGCATGATCACCTCAGTATTGGTGAAGACCGCACCGGAGCATGAGGACAGCGAGACCCGGACGGTCAGTACCAACTCCAGCAGACCTGTGCAAAATCCTCATTAGCTGAATAGTTTTGACAAATATGATCAGCAGGAACACAATGATGAGAGCGATGTGCTTTAGTCCAGAGAATGGTACTGTGTAAGATTGTGTGTCTGCATGTGTGTTTGTGTGTGAGTGAACTGTAAAGTACCAATAAGCTTGGACGCTGAAAGTAAAACTGATAAGATCTGAGTGTCCAAAATGCTGATCTATGTGTCTTAATGAATAAAATCTGGCAATATTCTAGTAGTAGTTGTAGCCTAATGTTATTCTGGTATAATTCTTTGATCTTGTTAACACATTCATGAGTAACACCTGTATTGCATGATCTGATCACAGTTGATCAGCCGCTTTACACATGGTAGTAGCACATCAGTGTGTAAATGTATATTGCTACAGCAGAATTTTTTTTTTTTTTCCAATTTATTCAATTGGATGGTTATTTTCATTTAAAACTTGCTCATAAATGGCAAAACCCTATTTTGTGCAGTGATTGACAGGCAGGTAAGTGGTTTTTCACTGCTGTCTTGGATACATTAAGATGGTTAGAGTTTACTGTGACCACCACAATATGTGACCCTGGACCACAAAACCAGTCTTAAGTGTCAATTTTTCAAAATTGAGATTTATCAGTCACAAAACTTGTTTTTTTTTTGTCCTCTTTGTGGACTGTTTACTTTCCAAGAGTTTTCCAATGCAAATGACATTTACTTTATGTAGACACTAGAGGGCAACCAATTCCTGCTTATGCTCATTCTTGTTTAAGAGGTGCTGAAATGCAGTTGCTTATAGTTTTTTTTTATTCTCTTCTTTTAATTTCAACACAAAAAGCAAATCCATATGGGTGCCAAAAAAAAAGTTTTATGGTGACAACTTGTTCAGTCTCAAAGTGGCCTCATCCATCTCCTTTTTGTCCTCCAGCATACCATAATCCCCCGGGGATCGCTGTCACTCAAAGTGTTGGCAGAGCTGCCCATCATCGTCGTACTCATGTATCAGGTGAGAGCCCATAAAAACACTCATTCAGTATTGACTTTATGCCAGCCATCCTCTTTTTAAAAGGACACGTCCCTCATTTAGACATTTGGCTCGTTTATAAAAGGTGCCGTCAATCAACTGAAACCCATACTTTATAGCTAAATCCATTGTTTTCTCAAACCTGCCACTCTTATCAAAATGATTGTTGTGATTAGATGTTTTTGCCTTTGTCATTATGAGTTTTAATTGTAAAGGCAATCAGTTTTGAGTCAGAAAATGACAGTCCGCAGCTGTTAGGAAGCTACGATCAAACAAAACACAGCTTTTGTTTCACCTTCTCTGCATGTTATCATTATACATTTGACCAGCAGGTGTACTTCTTTTTTTTTCCGTCTTAAAATATAGCAGCCACAAATATCACGATACTGCTTTCAGAAGTATGCCATGAAAATGTTCTAAAATTCTTGTATTTATTGGTGGAATTTGCCTTTGAGTCAGACTCTAAAGTTCTGTTTTGAATCCATGAATCTTATAAATGGTGTAAAATGTTATGCAACAATGTTTCAAGCAGGGGTCTACTTTCTGTCTGTCGCCCCGCTGTTATTTGATGCACTAATTGCTTTCCTGTATGGCATTTTTCCTAGCTGTACAAACTGAGCATTCACAACGTGGTGTCGGAGTTTGTGCCTCTTATCATGAACACCATCATGCTGCAGGTGTCTCCGCAGGCTCGGTCAGTGAACTCTTGCGTCTCGTTGAGCGGGTGGTATTACATCACCGCTAATGCATTTCATAGATGCAGTTTAACACATAGTGACGTTTAATGCTTTTCCTGGTTTCTGTCCGTGACAGGCAACACAAACTGTTCAACAAGGAGCTGTATGCAGATTTTATCGCCGCACAGATCAAGACCTTGTCATTCCTCGCTTACATTATCCGGATCTACCAGGTAGAGTGGCATCATAGCTCAACCACCTGTTTATTAAACTTTTCTAAACTTGTTTTAATACTCATGCAGTGACTAATGTGGCAATGTGAAACGTTGTGTCTCAGGACTTGGTTGGGAAGTACTCCCAGCAAATGGTGAAGGGGATGCTGCAGCTGCTGTCTAACTGCCCCCCTGAGACTGCTCACCTGCGGAAAGAGCTCCTGATCGCTGCCAAGCACATCCTCACCACCGATCTACGCAGCCGTGAGTCATCCACTGCTAAACTCTTTGCAGATTGTTGGCAGATATTCCCAAATAAGATATGCAAAGTGTTCGCTATTGTAGGAGCGCTCGCATCTGGTGTTAATTACACCGCTGAGCTTCATGGGGTACCGCTTTGATATGTAACGGCTGCATTCTCTTTGAGCTTCACCTCTCAATCAATAGCATTTGAGAGAGGAATCTGATACACTCTTCTAAATCATTAATCCTGTAGAGAAGGTTAAATGAATCGATGAGAAACCCTGCCTGTTGAGCTCTGGCATTGATGTATCTCATGGTTCATGGGCCCCTGAGCTGTTTCGGTGGGCTTCAGAGCCTGCGATGGCAGCTGATAAAGTCTGTTTGTGTTGCAGAATTCGTTCCATGCATGGACAAGCTTTTCGACGAGTCGATACTCATTGGCTCAGGATACACTGCGAGAGAGACGCTGAGGTAAGAATGCAGATTAACCCTCTCTAAACCAATATTATGTTTCAAGTATAAGCAGTCTGCAATTTGCAGGGCACACATTTAACCCACAAAGCCTAGTAAGCTGCCTACCTAGGCAGCATTGCAAGGCATTGCAGATCCGCTCATGAGGCTAAGTGTCTTTTTAAAAAGTAGGGAGCACAGTTATGACTCATTTTGGCCAAATTCTAAGGTAGGATACATGCTGTGCTCTGCAGAGAAAGCAATCCCAAAATGCATTTCAACAAGCAAATTAAAAAAGTATGTTGGCAAATAATATGCTTTTTTTTTTTTTTTAACCACTTACAACATAAAACCAAATGCACGAAGCTCGGCACTTTCAACAATAGAAGGATACATGCATTGAGAAAAGAGAGAGGAAATAATAAATTAATAAAACCAAACTTATAAGACTGGAGCGTAATGATATACCATACCTCAAAGTATTAAAATTATATTATCAAGATATAGAGTCCAGATATTTTGAAAAGATTCCGTTGACGAATGGCAAAGCGATATGTTGATTATAAATAAACATGTATTTATTATTGAAATTGTAATATTAGAGATGTTTATTAAAAATATCAGCTGATAGATATAAGGTGATAATAATTTTCGTGTTATGGATGGAATTAATTAAATCAGTTGTTTTAAATGCTACAAGTGATTTACAGTGGCATGATGATGATGGCAAAGGTAAATGTAAAAACAGAGAACATGAGCATACACAAATTAAATGTCCAGTATCGTCCAATATGATAACTAAAAATAAATCTGATAACAGCTGGTAATCAATGGTGATACCGACATATCGTTTCATTCATTTATGCAGAATATAATGTTAATGTCAAAATTCCTAAACACCTTTACATACGCAAACACTGATCACATTTTGAATAAGTCAAAACTATAATGCAGCAAGACCAAATTGTAAGTAACAGAAATTATTAATTCATTGCTTAGCTGGGTCTTCAGGCTATGCAGTCTGTTAATTCACCTCACCTCCCGGGCCCGAGTTGTTCGTCCTTATGTCACATCACATCCCCATAGGTTAAAGCTATGCAGTCTTTAAGGAAACAGAAATAATTAGTTCACCTTCCGAGTCTTTGGGTTCGAGTCGTTTGTTCATCACGTGACAGTCCCATTGGTATAAGGCTATGCAGTCTGTGCCGGAAACAGAAATGAAGACTCAGAAGATGAGCTAATCATTTCTGTATCCTGTACAGAACCTATAGGATGCTGCACATGTGCGGTCAACACAGAATGAACGAATCACTCTCTGTGACAACTCATCGTTCCTGAGTCATATTAAAGATTTGTTAAAAATGAACAAATTGTTCAAGAATGACCCATCACTATCATGCATCCTCTTGAAAAATTAAGTCTGTCCAATATTTAAGCGTGCTTTTGTTTTGTTCATATTGTTAGCTTGGCAACAAAATGTTGTGAGAAGCACTTTTTATATGTAGAGGGTAGGGCTGGGCGGTATATCGAGTTTGTACGATATATCGATATTTTCTTTATAAGCGATTCGATATGAGGCAATACAGTTTATATCGATATACAGTAGTTTGATATGAGCGCATCTGAAAATATAGCGGAGGACGCAGACTGAGCTGCTGCGGAGAAAATGCATAATCCAATTTGTTCTAAACATGTGACAAGCTTCATATTAAGGTCTTTAAAAACTGGTAAGACATAGTTTATAGTTTGGTTTCGTATATTAGTTTAAGCGGCTCGGCCCGTCATTTGCTCTGACTGAAAGGCTGCGTGTGCCGCTGACAGAGACACTAGGCTACTCGCGCTGTTTAGTGTGTTTGAGATGTGCTGTCTTCCTGAATGCATAACTTACATTTCACATGTTTAGTCTCCCATCTGTAAATGTTAGAAAGTCATGGAAATATTTCCATTTTTCTGTCAGAGGTGCATGAGCCTTCTGCTTTTGGATTTTCCGTTGAACTTCAGTGAACGAGCGCATGCGCGCCAAACAGACAGAGCTCAATTAAATAGGAGCGCAATAATTCTGACTAAAATATACATTTCGCTGAAATATTTGTAGTTGGACAATAAATGTGACATGTAGAATTTTAAACCTATAAGTAAGTATATTTTTATGATAGCACTGACTGTAAAGTGACTGTAATGGGGTAATCAAAATAGCCTAACACAACTCTGTGCTTTTGTTCTCATTTATTTTCATTTTGAGTTTATAGTGAATTTAACTTCTGCTTTAAAAGCCTTATTTTTGTTTATAGATTGCAATGTTACAATGTTAGAATGAAATGTGATTTTAACCCTTTTTTGCACAATATAAAGGCTTACATGGTTACATTCACTTTATTTGTTTTCATAGCCTTTAATGTATTGTTTTGTTGGACAACATTGGGCGGTAAGTGAAATATATATATTAAATACAGATTTTTAAAATCCAAATAGAAAAACGAAAATACCGAGATATATACCGTATATCGCAAATCGGCCAAAAAATACAGAGATATGAATTTTTGCCCATATCGCCCAGCCCTAGTAGAGGGTTACAAGGCAGTCACTTATAAGGTTCTATTTCTTTTCGGTTGCTCTCTTAGAAGGCAGCTGACTATGTAGACAGCAAGGTAGCTGACTAGGTTTTGGAGAGGAGCCAGCCATAATAATAAAGTGTTCATTTTATTGTCATTTTTCAGTGTGGCTAGGGGCCACAATCTTTTTCCTTCCAAGTTTCTTTGGAGAAAAAAAAGTTAGATTTCATCAAGTGCAACATATCAGAATTGATTGTTAATGGTGCGTGACTGAGCTGAGTTGCCCCACTGGGCAGAAGAGATCCAGGTGCCAGTCTTCATGTGCCAGGCTGTCCTGGCATTGCCCCCACTGTCTGTCTCCCTGCCCCAGATGTCATATGCCTGCCAACACCACCCCTCTTTCATCCACGGCTTCCATCAGCCTTCAGCAGGCAAATTTGGCAGGACTCAAAATCTGTCAAAGCCATTAGTGTCGTTTATTCTGAAACTTTGCCTGAAATCCCCCTAGTATCGACCCAAGATATTATTATTAGCCAGGGTTGAGAGCTATTTGTTCTTTGAGGGTTGGTTTTGATCAATTTCAGACTGGGGATTCCACACCACAAGAGTAGGGATGTCTGTAACAAGTCAATATCACTATAAAATGAAAATAAAATGATGTTACACTATTGTTTAAAAGTTTGGGGTCAGTAAGATTTTTGAAACTAATACTTTTCTTCAGCAAGAATGCATTAAATCAGGGGTGTCAAACATACGGCCCGCGGGCCGAACACGGCCCACAGAGGTGTCCAATCCGGCCCCAAAACAAAAAAAACAAAAACACATTTTGTGTCAATATTGCGCACCCCTAAAATAACCAAGCATCTAGTTGTCCTAGATTTGTTTTTTTATTATATTGTAGTTTGTATGGTTAATATTAATGTAACTGTGAGCAAACTAGGGTTTAACAAAAGGTAATTCGGCCCGCACAAGGGGGCATTTTCTCCGATCCGGCCCTCAACCTTAAATGAGTTTGACACCCCTGCATTAAATTGATCAAAAGTGTCAGTAAAGACATTTATATTGTTACAGAAGATTTCTGTTTCAAATAAATGTTCTTTTGAACATTTTCAACTGTGAAAATGCTAAAAATCTTTTGAATGGTAGTGTACATCTGTGCATGAGCAAATGTAGTTAAACATGGCCGTTTTGGTGAAGGGTTAAACAGTCACTTGTGTCTCATGCAAACAGGCAGGCCAATAATGGAGATTACCATGGTATCGAAATTGCTACTGAGAATCGTGAAATTGTGCTAATATTGGTATCAACTGTTGAAGTTTCAGTTTTGTCACAACCCTAAAGGTGATGATACAAGGGGCAACTTTTTTGAGCAATGTTGCTTGGGCACAACAAATTTCAATCTGGATACTTTAGATCGGTCGATTGTCTCACCTGGTTGCCCGTTGACGGCAACATTGCTCAAAAAGTTGCCCCGTGTATCATCACCTTAACAGAACTCCTCTAGAAAGCTTAGATTCTGTTGTCTAACAGTGAGTCTCTTGATGTTTCAGGCCCTTGGCATACAGCACACTAGCAGACTTGGTGCACCATGTTAGACAGAACCTCCCGTTGACGGACCTCTCCCTGGCTGTGCAACTGTTCGCTAAGAATATTGACGATGAGTCCCTCCCCAGCAGTATCCAAACCATGTCCTGTAAGCTGTTGCTAAACCTTGTAGACTGCATCCGATCAAAGAGCGAACAGGAGAACGGAAACGGCAGAGACATTCTCATGAGAATGCTGGAGGTGAGGTAGACTGGCACATTAGCCCGTGTAAACTACGTTGTGATTGTAATAACATAGGCTACAAGATGCCACTGACTGGCCATATGTAAATGCATTTGTAAAACACAAAAATATTGGTCTGACACTATATGATTTCTATATTCTCAGGTATTTGTGTTGAAGTTCCACACCATTGCACGGTACCAGCTGGTATCTATCTTTAAGAAGTGCAAGCCCCAATCAGAGATGGGTGTGGTGGACACAGGGGCGTTACCAGGAGTCCCAGCCACCCCTACTGTAACTACACCCGCCTTACCTCCACCTCCACCTGCACCCCCAACACCTGTCACCCCTGCACCACCACCGGCCACACCTTTTGATAGATCTGGGGACAAGGAGGACAAACAGACCTTCCAGGTGTCCGACTGTCGCAGTCTGGTGAAGACTCTTGTGTGTGGAGTGAAAACTATCACATGGGGCATCACTTCTTGTAAAGCTCCTGGAGGTGAGATGGATGAACTTTTACTTGGCTTTAGATTGGGCCAAATCATTAAATATTGGTTCTGTTTAACATTTTCTTTTTGTGTGGTCTGTTGAAGTTTGTGAAGCCTGTCAAAGTCATTAAAGGGCTAGCTCTGCTCAGCATTCCCATTTGAATATTCTCACCTTGGTATTAGTGGTCGGCCGATATATCGGCTGATATTTGGCATTTTTTAAATATCAGCATCGGCCGATAAGTTTTCCTGTTTGGCCGATGCGTTCTTTTATTTTGACGGCGCGACTGACTTTTATTTTGACGGCGCTGAGAACGGCAGCGCCTGAGCACACAGTGCTTACATTCTCCCTCTTGTTCGCTGTTGTCGTTGCGTTCTGTCTAATATGGATTATCTAATACGTATGTCTAATAATCAGATAGAACGGTTAAACAAAGGAATTAAAATGTATACAAAAATTATTATAACGATTGCTTGAATGAATGAATCAGTGTTTTTGAACGAGTAGTTGAATGACAGTCCCTTTCCACCACCTTGTGGCGCAACACTGTAACTGCATTGACTGACAGCCGCAGGTGGAAATATCAATAGAAAGTCTTTTGTCCAGTCAGATTAGAAGATCAGATTACAACTAGGCTAAATGTTATACATATAGGCTAACGATAGCCTAACGATCTTATTGTCAGGTTTATGTTCTGTTATGTGGACCGTTATTTTGTCATTCTCTTCTGTTTACTTCACTTCCTGTTTCAACGCTATTTGGTTTCGGTTTCATTGTCTTCTGAATATGACCTCGTTAGTTATATCGTAACACACACACACACACACATATATATATATATATATATATGTGTATATGTGTACGTGTGTATGTATATGTATATGTATATATATATATATGTGTGTGTGTGTGTGTATATATATATATATATGTGTGTATATATAATATATGTATATGTATATATATGTATATGTATGGCAATAATACCGCATACCGCGGTAAATTTACTATTGAGCCACTCAAAATTACCGCAAGGGAAATTCCCTCACCGCAACAGCCCTACTTAAATATTAATTAATATGTGTTTTCCAAGATATCGGCATCGGCTGTCAAAAAAACAATATCGGTCGACCACTACTTGGTATTGTTGTATTACAGAGGCACAGTTCATTCCCAACAAGCAGCTCCAGCCCAAAGAAACACAGATCTACATCAAGCTGGTGAAATATGCCATGCAGGCCTTGGACATCTACCAGGTACGACCGTCCACCGATTAGTGCAGATTACCACACCAAAACACAAATCCTTACACAAAGTCACTTGGCTGAGAATGGCTGAGGTGTGTAAAACTGAAAGTCCTATTATGTTGCCACATCTTAGTACGTAAAAAACAAATTTTATCCGAGCGCATGTAATACTGAGAGCTGAAGTTTACAGCTTATCACAGAGCCAACCCCCTTTTGGCTAGGTACAGATTGCCGGCAATGGGCAGACGTACGTTCGTGTGGCTAACTGTCAGACGGTGCGGATGAAAGAGGAGAAGGAGGTTTTAGAGCACTTCGCCGGAGTCTTCACCATGATGAACCCTCTCACTTTTAAAGAGATCTTCCAGACCACTGTTCCATACCTGGTGGAACGCATTTCCAAAAACTACGCCCTACAGGTAATGGTGGAGAAATCAATAAAACAAGGCAGTTTTTTTCACTGCAGGATTGACTTGACATTTACATTTTTTTTTATACTAAATTATTGATTGTTGATATGACATGGCTATTCAATCCTTCAACAGATTGTGGCAAATTCCTTCCTGGCCAACCTGACCACCTCTGCACTGTTTGCCACCATTTTGGTGGAGTATCTGTTGGAGCGTCTGCCTGAGATGGGCTCCAATGTAGAGTTATCAAACCTGTATCTCAAACTCTTCAAACTGGTCTTTGGCTCAGTGTCTCTCTTTGCTGCTGAAAATGAGCAAATGCTCAAGGTGAGTGTTGTCTTATGCACATGCAGGTTTATGAAGCAAAATGTGGCCTCTTTTGTCTTTTAGTTGGCTAAGGTGCTTATTTAGAGTATTGAGTAGGTAATATCCAATTTTTTCAGAGCAATTTGACAGAGGGATCGCTCACACCCTCCGAGCTCTGATGACACTGTGCTGTCTAACGCCTCTGTGCCAGTAACCGTGCTGCATTAATTTTAATGCGTTCTGTCAGCTCCTCTGATGAGAAATGACACTTGTGCCTCAGATTGACAGGAAATACCAAAGTGAAGGTCACTGTGAAATAGTGGAAAGAAAGAGGCTTCTGTTTCTCACTTCCCATCGATCCTGTTGCCCACTGAAACTATCCTCTTATATTCGGTGTCACTGCCTTTTTTTTAGCTAATGGTTGCAGTTAACTCACACACGCATGTACTACCATTCAAAAGTTTAAAATTGATGCTTTTTACTTAATACCTATATAGCAAGGATGCATTAAATTTATCAAAAGTGACAGTAAAGACTTTTACATTGTTATAAAGGATTTCTATTTTAAATAAATGCTGTTCATTTGAACTATTTATACATCAACACATCCTGAAAAACATTTTTTATCATGGTATCTACAAATTATTAAGCAGCACAACTGCTTTCGACATTGATAATAGGAAGAAAAATTTCATGAGCACCAAATCAGCATATTAGAATTATTTCTAAAGGATCATATCGCTCTGGCGTAATGGCTTCTGAATTTTCATAATATATATATATATTTTTTTTACTGTATTTTTGATCAAATAAATGTAGTCTTGGTTAGCATGAGACTCATTTTAAAAAACCATAACTCCAAACTTGAATGGTAGTGTAAGTGTCTGTTAAATCCATATATAGTAAAATATAATTATTATATAATAATATATTAAATTATATATATATATATATATATATATACAGTTTTAT